AAAATTGAGACAAAATCTAAGTCATGGTGATAAACATAACGAATAAGAAAACACTAACAATAGCAACTTAATTGTGAAGGCGTTGTAGTGCAAACATATAAATCATCCAAGTGACAAAAAGCACTAAATTATAAATCATCAAAGTGGACAAATATAGACTCTAATATCTAAGTGAAAAACATAAATATACAGGCCTCTACTATCAATAAATATTATCCAAGTGTGAAAAAAACGTGCACATATCATCTAAGTAAAATAAAAAATTCATAAAAAACGTTTTAATAACAAGCTTTTATGTAATGATGCACTAAAAAGTAGAAAATAAATTATAGACTACTATTTAAATAACTATAAAGAAAAGCGTGGGTCACTTTAGTATCTATTGGATACCTTTACTAATGTTTCTTTATAGTTATTTAAATAGTAGTCTATAATTTATTTTCTACTTTTTAGTGCATCATTACATAAAAGCTTGTTATTAAAACGTTTTTTATGAATTTTTTTTCAGTACTTTACATGTTTTATTTACAATAGAGTTACATGACTAAAAACCATTGCGCGCCTACTGAACATCACGTTCAGTAGGCGCGCAATGGTTTTTGAACGCAGCCATTACGTGATGGCGCAGCTATTGAAGGTGATGACGCGTGTGGTGTGGTTGGCTAGACATGCCTACTAATTCGGTCCAAATTTTAATTAACTCATAAAAAATTAATTAGGCATCCAATTAAGTCAAATTTAGATTCAGATTGCATTGTCTTCATGTCTTGACCCACGTGCCAACTGTGAATCGTATCGGTCAAGTAGAACTGTCCGAATTTTCACTCCTGCGTTTCCGTCTAGACTGACGACTGACGACTTACGACAGACAGAGGAAGTGAGTTAAATAAAAGCTTGTAAAAAAATTCATAAAAAACGTTTTAATAACAAGCTTTTATGTAATGATGCACTAAAAAGTAGAAAATAAATTATAGACTACTATTTAAATAACTATAAAGAAAAGCGTGGGTCACTTTAGTATCTATTGGATACCTTTACTAATGTTAAGGAAGACACCCACGCTTTTCTTTATAGTTATTTAAATAGTAGTCTATAATTTATTTTCTACTTTTTAGTGCATCATTACATAAAAGCTTGTTATTAAAACGTTTTTTATGAATTTTTTTTTCAGTACTTTACATGTTTTATTTACAATAGAGTTATATGACTAAAAACCATTGCGCGCCTACTGAACATCACGTTCAGTAGGCGCGCAATGGTTTTTGAACGCAGCCATTACGTGATGGCGCAGCTAATGGAGGTGATGACGCGTGTGGTGTGGTTGGCTAGACATGCCTACTAATTCGGTCCAAATTTTTATTAATTCATAAAAAATTAATTAGGCATCCAATTAAGTCAAATTTAGTTTCAGATTGCATTGTCTTCATGTCTTGACCCACGCGCCAAATGTGAATCGTATCGGTCAAGTAGAACTGTCCGAATTTTCACTCCTACGTTTCTATCTAGACTGACGACAGACTGTCGACAGACAGAGGAAGTGAGTTAAATAAAAGCTTGTAAAAATATATATCATCAAAGGAAAAAAAAACAAAGATATATATCATCAAAGTAAAAAAAATAAAAATATATAACAAAAAAAATAGGCGTAAACCATCGAAGTGAAAAAACAAAAATATATAGGTAGACCTATATATCATCCAAGTGAAAAAGCAAAAATATATATCAATAAAGAAAAAAAATATATCACCAAAGTGAAATGAACAACAAAAATATATAAATCATCAAAGTAAAAAACAAGCCGACTACAAAAATGAATCTACGAACTGCCGTGTTTTAATAACACATCAAAGCGCATGGAGCCGCGTAGTTGGACATATTGATGTCCAAAATATGGTACCTTGTGTGACTGGGTTTTGTTCCCCGGCCCGGCAATGATAACTTGTTGACCAAACATCATCAAAGCGGCGGTCAGTGTGCTGATCGGTGCCTCGCTTTGATCCTGTGTCGCCGGCTGACCCCCCCCCCCCCCTACCCTCCGCTCTTCAATGGACGGTCACTCAGGCCCCGCCCTACCCCAACTGATGACCAATGGCCGAACGGCGCTGGACTGTGTCCACTGGGGCAGGTCACGTGTCACTGGTCCTAGGGGTCGGGTCCCACCCAGCGATGGTCAAGTCTATTAGCGCTCATTAACATCAGCAGAACTGCGAGTTGGGATATTCCCGTTCTGGAGTCATACTTTGGCATCCTGCGAAAAAAGTTTCGCAAATTTTTTTTTGCACATTGGTAGGTGTTAAGTTTTTAATTATCACCAAGTTACCTCTGCAAATGTGTTGTTCTATGTGATTGGATAGTAAAAGTGCGAAGTCTGACGTATACAGCAAGTGTAATAATTCATTAACAGGTACGTAGTTTATATACATAATATTATCGTCCAATTTTTTTCTTTTCTTGTTCAACATTTTTTTTTTAGCAAAAGAGTAATTAAATTTTTTCCTGTAATCTATTATTTGGGAGCCGCAGTTGTATTTTAGTTCCGATATTTTAGAAACAACAACGCACATTTTGTTCTACATTAAAAAAATATATTTCTAAACATTAAACAAACAACATCTTCATCAAACAGAAACGCACTTGTTTTATCAAAGAGCAGCAATTGTACATTCAAAGAGCGGCAGTTGTATATTCGAAGCCATTCGGAGCCGAATATTAACGAACATTGAACCACACTTTAAACCGACATAATTTATAACTAAACTAATAAATTAACGTTTTATCGATGAAAAACTGCAAATTATTTTCATCACCGGCAGTCATTTCTACATTTTATTAGTTGAAATATAACTAAAGTATTGCAATTTGTTTTTTTTCCTCTTAGTAAAATGTAAAAATAAACTAAAAAATTAAGACAGTAATGATCGAATGCCACATTAAAGCAGCGATTGTACAGAGCATAATTATGATTCTTGATTTTAAAAAATCCAAGGGGATACACGCTAATGGTATGGATGTGTTGGTATAAAACTCTACTACACGAAACTCATCAACAAAAATCTTTTAACAAGTAAAACAAGATTGAGGGGGGGGGGTTAATTCTAGATTATCTATTCCTAATCTCAGCGACACAAATTCGTGTACCCATCCTATCGTCACGCGCATTTTGAAGTACTCGTACGTGTTTCATCAAACCTAATACATCCGAAAAATTGGTCACTCGTTATACATAAACCTAAACGGTCATTACATACAATTCAATTAAAACCGTTAAAAAGTTAGTTTGTATTCAAAACAAAGGTTGGGTGGTTTACATGTAGAGTACGACAGTAGTGGGTGCGATTCTAATTCATTCGCCGAGCTTCCATATCATGAGATCAGAGTCTGAAAAACAAAACAAATAAAAATTACTGTTTTAATTAAATAATTAACATTATACGGCGTGTTTAAATGGTAGAGCAATCAACTGCTTGCCAGAAAGTCTTGAGTTCGTAACCAGGACTCGAGGACATAGGAAGTCCATGAGTTCACCCAGCTCTAATGGGTACCTGACTCATGTTAGGGAAAGTAAAGAATCCTGGGCATAGTGCTGACAAGACTATCCCTTCATATACCGAAATGACAGAAACATATGAACTCTACCTTACCTGCCCAATGGACCGTAAGGTTTGGAAGATGCTCTATTTAATTAATCAATAATTAATTTAAAACAAAAGAAAAAACAAACATTTGCAACTTAAAACACATTCCACAAGATTCTGCTATCATACAGAAGACACAAAACATAAATTAACATAAACTAACACATAATTTAATCATTCTAAATTTTATAACCTAATCACCTTTTTAACTGAGCGTCGCATAAACTTAAAATTGTTTAAATAATAAATGTGAGTACCGTTAATCTTTTGTGCATGGCATGAGTCTTGTGGATGAGCAATCAATTCATTAATGATTGAATATACGTGGATTTTTTTAAACTCACAAATCTCTGAATCGCGTGCTAGTTAAACCTTACAGCTAGCACAATGTGTGTGTGTGTAGGGTGGGATGTGTGTGTGTAGGGTGGAATGTGGATCTCATTCAGGGCTTAAGACAGTTTATTTTCATTATAGTAAAACAATAATTTTAGGGTGCCATTTATATATTTTCAACAGCTATTTTTTTGTTATGACGTGAATTAAAATTAATTGCGAAGTTTTTGACAACAATGTTTAAATTAATGTCATTTAAAAAAAAAGATCGAGGTAAAAATAAATCTCACATACTTGGGGGCGGAGAGGGTGAAGGTGATGGGACATACAAGCACCAATTACATTTATTGACAAAATAGAAAAAAATAAAGTTAAAAGATTGTTAAATATTTTTTTTTTTATTTCTAAAAGCAAAAAACTTATAATCTGAGCTCAACTTTTCGCGTCTAGTCAGTACTTAAAATGTAACTATCAGTCTGAGGCTCTTCATTGTCACAATTACACAATAAATTAACCTAACATTTTTTTTTAACATCGCTGCAAACTTTGTTGTTTGTTTAAAACAAAATTATGATGAAATAAATAGGAAAAACGTTCAATTAAAAAAAAAATATTCTATCTGATTAAAAAAAACGATCTAGTTCAAGTCTACTTAATTTTCCTTATTAATTTATCTCAGCTTGCATGTCATGTATTTTTTTCATTACATACCCTCAACGCTATATAAAAGTCCACTTTCGGACCTATCGATCATCGGTATTTGAAGGGATGGATGTTTACGTTGTATTCTCGATAGTAATTATTTATCTTTAATGCTTGAAATAATAGGCTTATATCACATAACCTGGCCATGTTTAAATGATCCAAGAATTTTAAAAAAATCTTTTTTAGTCTGAGAATAAAAACTAACATAAACTTCTCATTGAATTTGTTTTCAACAGCTAAAATTCCTACTGTCATCAATACTACTACGTCCAAAATAACGTAAACCCCGTTTAAAATCGTACATTTAAAAACATAACCCGGTTCACCATGATGGCGGGTGGATCCTCTCTCAATCTGGCACCCGTCCCGCAGGGTTCCGTCCAGCACTTCCAGAGACTCAGCCCGTCGTCTGCTTACGACACGTACGGCGTCACCACAGCAGACGATAGGACCTACACCAGCACGTACCCGTCGTTCTTTGACGGGGACCTGTACAGTCAACACGCCGGCCACAAGGCGTCTGGCCTACATCATCCCAGCACACAACAACACGGAGACTACCGTCACGAGAAGGTCTTCACGGAGCTGAAGCCTTTCCAAAAGCAGACCCCGAACTTCCATCAAAAACAAACTCAAAACTTTCACCAACAAACTTTTCAAAACTACAATGTCAGTGTTGAGGATTATCAGGCCAGGGTGAACCCCTTCACGGGTCACCATTCACCTGCTGTAGGTCACCAATCACCTGTTATGAGTCACCATTCACCTGCTATTGGTCACCAATCACCAGTTTTGAGTCACCAATCACCAACCATCAGTCACCAGTCTCCTGTTGTAGGTCACCATTCACCTGTTATGAGTCACCATTCACCGGGAAAAGTCTCACCACCGTTCTACCACCCGGAACACATGTCCACACTGCACTACGACCCACACTACTACCACCAATGGCCCCCAAGTGTGGCCATGCCACATCCAGAAAGTGGCCAACCACACCCGGACTGCCCGCCCCCACCCCTGAAAGTCCGCCGACTAGGGGCTGGCAACCCCGTGCCCACCTGGACCGCCAAAGGAAAAAACAACTGTGTGGTCAGCCTGTACAACGGGGACATGTGGGCTAAGTTCCACATCCACTCTAACGAGATGATCATCACAAAACACGGAAGGTAAGATTTATAGATCAATACTTGCACTAAAGAAGGTTATTTTCTTACTTTCATTGCATTAATATACTTGAAAGCCTTTTTATGTTTTCTAAATTTAAATATTAAGATATTTATTAAGATATTGTAAAGATATTGTAAAGATACAAAAGAAATTAGAAATTTAAGTTTTAAAAACAATATTTAAAAAAAAATTCCTTTGTAACCCAAATAGTAACTCAAAAGGACAATTATCTGCTACTTACGCGAGTGCGGGAGTTTAAATAAGTCACTAACAGACAGACCGAAAACAGACAAACAGACTAAAGAACAATCTTATAAGAATAAGTTTAAAAGAAGCTGGCTTATACTGTATTTATCAAAAGAAATTTACACGAAAATTGTTTGAATGAAGTATTTGAAAAGTATGTGTGATTTATTTCAGGCTATTAGTTGAAATAATTCTTTTTAAGATGTAATGTGGTGATGTCTAAGTTTACAAGTCTACATCGATCCCATTTTCGTGTGAGGAAATATAATTATGCTAAAAATGCACTAAAACGGAACGGGTTGAAAAGCTAATTGTCATTATCGTCTGAGGACGACACACGGGGCAGTCACAGAAAGTTCTTTCCATTTTTGCCGGTCTCAGCCGAACTCCTCAAGACTCATGTCGGTTTTCTTCTGTGCGTCTCCAAGCCTCGGTAGCCCTACCCTGTTTCCTTGCCCCTTGAGTCGTCCACTGCAGTAACATTTCAGTGCTTTCATCCGAACTCATCCTTAGCACATAGCCCACCCAACACAACCTATTCTCGATTACCTCTGAAACGGCTTCCGTTTCTCTTATCGTTAGACAAGGCGCTAAACAAAATGATGCCTTATCCCCCTAACGCACACGTTGTAAGCAACCCACTGATTGGTTGGTAGTGGTTGTTGCTTTCCAACATTCACTGCCGCACGGAAAGGCGCTTATGACTTAACGTTTGAAAAGTTTGAAATTGGTCTTGGAGTCATCTATAATATGACTACGACGTCACGTTTTTTTGACGATTTTTACCTCCCCACTCCCCTCCGTCACACATCGTCTCAAAAAGCCAACCCCCTCCCTAAAATGACGTCACACCTCAGCCTACAACCCCCCCCCCCCCTCACAATTGCAGTTGAATTTTTCTTAAAGCGTCGATATTTTTACAAAATCTTGTCTGAACTCTGTCAACATTAAGTATTTAATCAATTCCTATTACAATTTATTAAAACAGTTTTCTAAAACGCAAAAATAACGGCTTAAATTCGTTTTCTTACATTGCTTTTTATGCTGCAAAATTGTGAAGTCACACCACACCCCTTCCCCCTCATCACACACCGTCACAAAATTACGGACCCCCCTCCCCCCCCCCCCCTATGAGTCTGACGTCATTTATGGACGACTCCTTGGAGAAGACTGTAGATCGCCTTTTTTGCATGCTTGTAAAGATTCAATTGACTTTGAGATGCGTGTTTTAATTTCAATGGTGCATGCACCTACATTGTTGACAATGCTGCCTAAAAATGTGAAATCTTTTACTTCCTCTACCTGTGTGTCGTTTTATTTTAATAGCTTCATTGCTAGATGCATTTTGTATCATAATTTTGGTTTTGTTAATATTTTGAGTCCAATCCAATTAGCAAAGAAAATAAATTCTTCCTACATTTTTGAGATTACTAAATAGCCTAAGATCGATCGAATCGTCCGGTGAGTCAGTCTTAGGGGTTCGTGGTCAAAACACACACCCGACTCTTAAGATTCACAATTGGATTTCGTCACCGTAGAAGGGTTCGGTGAATGCGCATTTGAAACTGTTAAGGTTCAGTACCTCAAAAAAGGTTAAAACCCACTGTTTTAAATACATTAACATTGTTTTTTATGATTACCTCCCGTTCGCAAATGGTGTGTTGTTTTTAGTGCAATTTCCATACTGACAATTGCGATTATTAATTCGTTATTTCTGGTTAGATGGATGGATGGATGGATGGATGGATGGAGGGAGGGATGGATGGAGGGATGGAGGGATGGATGGATGGATGGATGGATGGATGGATGGATGGATGGATGGATGGATGGATGGATGGATGGATGGATGGATGGATGGATGGATGGATGGATGGATGGATGGATGGATGGATGGATGGATGGATGGATGGATGGATGGATGGATGGATGGATGGATGGATGGATGGATGGATGGATGGATGGATGGATGGATGGATGGATGGATGGATGGATGGATGGATGGATGGATGGATGGATGGATGGATGGATGGATGTGTGTGTGTCCGCAGCTTTAAGTAGTATCTCCTCCTCAACGAAGCAATATCGAGGACTAGTTCCAATAGCAAATATGTTAAGCAAGTTCCGAGGATGATTGTTGGCCAAAAAAATTCCCGGAATTCCTTCCTGGATTTCCCGGAAAAGCCAAAAAAATGCAGTTTTTGGCCCATATCTCGGCAACCAGATCACTTAGCGACTTGACACATGTACCAATCGATTCCTGCCATAATTTAGAACAATATTGCCGAAGAAAGTTTTCAAAAATATCCTTTCGTTCGGTCACAAAAAATTAATTAAGGAAATTGCGCTTAAATTGTCACTAGACTTTTTATTAACTTGTTTTTTTATTGGCTAACCAGACGAATGCCATGTCTTTACTGTCATTTGTTCTTTAAGGAAATTGACTCTAGCTGAAAAAGACTTACTTTTATGTAATTTAAACTAAACGTTTAACGAAAAATTATTTTAAGTAACGTTTGTTAATGTCTATAGGCGTACACATTTCAGTCAAATTTCAAAATAAATTTAAATGATGTAAAACCTCAGTCCCCTATTGCCTCTCGCTGCCCCCACCCCCCCCCCCCCTCCTTGCCCCTCCAATAAGATGTTTGTCTGGCTGTCCCACCTGTGATTTCCTTTCATCTCGCGAGGTGTACCTTTGATGTCACCGACAGAGGTTGATTAGTGACGTAATATTTACGTCACAGCCACTTCATTGTGACTTAACCTTACCTCATACTTTTTTTCTTGCCTTATATTCCCGTCTAATAGCGCCTTCCTTATCTGGAGAGTTCTAATAGTTCCATTTACCGGAATTTTTAAAAACCCACATAGCTAAGTGGATGTTGAGCTTCCTCCTTTATCTTTTTACCGCACCCAATATACCCCACACCTCGCACCCTACACACCACACCCACACATATTACCCCCACCCTCACACCACACCGTACACACCACACACCACACCCACACATAACACCCCCCACCTTTACTCCCCACACCCTAAACACCACAACCACAACTACACATAGCACCACACCTTCACACACCACACCCTCACACACCACACCATCCACACCACACCCACACACCACACCTACAACAGATGGTTACGTCTATGTCAATACACACATTTTAACAAAAAATTTCATTTATTAAAATAAAACATACATGAATATACTGTTCAATCTTATCATACAATCATTGGCCCATCAAATAGTGTTATGAATAATGTTAACACATCACAGACAATTTGTTTAAAACTAAGCAACATCAAAGTTCAAAGTTCAGAAACTTTTCCGCCACAAATATTTTTGTGTTGTATTTTTACTTCTTCGCTTTGATGTCGGCTTTTTGTTTAATCGTTTCAATAATGTTTACTAAATCCAGTCCATTATTATGAAGACTTTAAAAATCTGGGCAATGTTTAATAAACAATCAGTGTTCAGCCGTCAGACTACACTACCTGGCCAATCATTTGGTCGACAGACGCAAAAAATCTGGCTAGCACTTCTGAATGAACGACGACGGGTAGGGCCCGAGTTTGTGATTGTGTAACAACAATGTTGACGCAGCGATCATTGAATCACCGCCGAGGTGCGATGGTGCGAGTTGGTGTACGCCGTGTCGCACCGCGCGGCCAGTGAGTTGTACTCAGGGAAGATCAAACGTCGCCGCCACGTAAACAAAGGGGAGATGATTCGCGAGTTTTGGTATTGTTGGGTCAGATGGCGTCCCTTTAGTACATAGAGGGCGTGGAGGTATCAATGGCATGTCTGTAAGTCTATAAGCAGCAGGTAACGAAAATCCGCCAAATATTTTGGGATGGGAAAGTACTACAAGTGATGAAATATTTCGTAGTTTTAAATCATTGTTGTATTGATTGTATTTGATCCATTCGTGTCCACATTTCCATTCTCATATGAAAATCTCTCGGCATTTTTCAATGCTCTTAAATCCCAATACTTAATTTTTAAAATTATTATTCTACATAAAATAAAAAATACTGATTACTATTATTGATGGTTCATAAAAAAGCAGAGGCGTAGCGACCCTTCCCGGCGCCCAGGGACAAACTTTCGATTTGCACCCCCCTCGAACTTTTCATTTGCACCCCCCCCGTCAAACTTTCATGGCGCCCCTCCTAAGGTCGGCGCCCGGGGACATATGTCCCCCCGCCCGCCCACCTCGCTACGCCTCTGTAAAAAAGTGATTATTCAAAGTACAGTATTCACAACAGCCTAGAGGCGATAGAGAACACAGTAGCAATAGGCTAAATAAAATTTTGTTAAGATGAGGATTGTATATTTTTTATATACTTCGTTTTAATATTTAGAGATGGTTCAAATCAGAGGCGTAGCGAGGGGGGGGGGGGTGCGGACTGCACCGGGTGACACCATTTAGGGGGGTGACACCAAGAGTCGCTACGCCTCTGAGGGGGTGACACCATTAAGTGCCGCACCGGGTGACACCCGACCACGCTACGCCACCGGTTCAAATATAACAGTAATTTAAAATTTAATTATTAAAACAACTTATTTTTGTCTTTTAACTTTCTTTCCAAGTCGAACGTTCTTAATCCGTTCTTAATTAGTAATCTTATCGTCATACCCAATCAATAAGTTGCGATGTATTACGTGAGAACTTTCCCTTATAAAAACATAGGTGTATATAGGTCTGCACTGGATGAAACTATAAGGGGTGGGGGTGACGCCAAAATCTATGTGTCTTACAATTTTTTTTATCCAGTTAAAACAATTTAAAAAGTAGTAGGGGTGTGGGACCATACCGAAAGGTCAAAACTGTAGGGGGGGGGGGTGACAACCTCACTTACCAACCAGGTGACACCCGACCTAGTGACGCCAATGGTTCAAGTTTCAAGATCTGACCATACAATGACCAACATATCATGTGACCTTACTCTACATGTGAGGTTGAATTAAAAAATTATAGTCGTTAGCTAATTGTTTTTTTTTTGGTTTCTTTTCCATTCAGACGCATGTTTCCTGTGTTGCATTACGTCATGAGTGGCCTTGACCCCCACAAGAAGTACCACGTGTACGTGGACATGTCGCTAGCAGACAACAACCACTGGAAGTTTCAAGGCGGGAAGTGGGTCTCATGTGGCACCGCCGAGCCCCTCCCTCAAGGTAAGAGATTTTTTTTTTTACCTGTAGTTTAAGGCTTGCATTTTCCACTCTCCCTAAAACTTACAGTGACAAAAAATATCGCTCCCCCCCCCTTCTGTATTTATCCGCATCAGAGTTTCTTCCAGGCATCTCTTCGGGGGGGGGGGGGGGGGCTCCGTCTACCGCCTCCCCGAACGAGATGGATTTTATATAGTAAACATACACTTTTACTAGTGTCCGCCCCCCCCCCCCCGAAAAATGTTGATCGCCCCCCCCCCCTCCCCGAAAATTTCAAAAGCCCCCCCCCCCCCCCCCCCCGGAGAAAAATGTCTGGAAGAAACACTGATGCGCATTTATGTTTTATGGACCAAGTAAAGAGCTGTTTACTGGTCTAAATGTAATGGCTGTACATACATGAACAAGCTGAAAAGAGGGACCTACTGCGTTTGTATTTTTGATTGTGAAGAAAATTTTTTTGTGTTCAGTGTGTGTGTGTGATTGTGTGTGATCGTGTATATAACTGTTTTTTAATACCACCACTTCTTGGAAAAATTCTACTTACTATTTTGATATAGAGTGATAGATACAGTAATATATTGAGTATATTTTTTACATAGATGGAGACTCATATATTGTAGTATAGAGGTGACCATTTAGTTGCTTTAAAATTTCGTATTTCACAATGCCGTAAAATAATTTTCTGAGCCCCACAATGCATTTCGACTGCTTTATTTTCTCGGCTAATGTTTACGTTCCGCGAAGCAGATCCAATTCGAACTAATTACCGCTCGCTCTTATTATCGACTAATTTCACCTCTTGCCATTATCCTTTACTTTCTCCTTCCTCACACACTTGCGTGTCTGCGGTTCCCTTCCGCCGTTTATTTTTAGACCAGCTTCGCGGAGTGCTTTGTGCCACCGTTTCGCGCAAATTAGCGCCTCACGTGCCCGTACAATATGGACACATTGACCGGCCCACCAGTGTCGTCCAGTGGTCCAGAGGTTCAGGCTTATATTGCCCCCCCCCCCCCCCCCCCATACACATATATCCATTTCCATAGACTCACCAGCCCTTAATGTTCCACGGGATAAACAGCAGTTTTTAACCTTACGCTTCAATTAGTGGCGTCTCTAGGTCAGGTTTCAACCCTTAGCAGCACTTCATGTTGTCACCCCACCCCCTAGAAGAAAAAGAAATATATAGACTAAGTCCTATTTTTGTCCTATACTTTTGGGTGAACTATGACCTCTATTTTTAGATGTGTAGAAGTATATTTTCTATATAAATTCTATTTCGTTGAAGGGGACGGTAGACGTGCTTCGGGGTGGGCGGGGCAAGGTTTAGGAGTATGGCTACTACTATATTTAGTATCAATGTGCAGTAACTACGTGGAGATCAAGCTTAAATCCGGTAAAAATGCTGATTCTGGATAAACATCCGTTTTCAATATTTTTCGTTTCCGGTTAAATTTGAAGTTAAGGTGGTGATTTTGGTTTTGGTTTAGAGAAGAGACAACACTATCAACCTAGCGCCCGTTGTATTTCTCCCTCAACGGGTAATTTATCTCGTAAAAAAATAATTTGATTATAACCCAGTGTTAAAAAAAAACACGTTTTATACTCGCGTAACTAAGCTTATGACATTTTTATATCAGTACAAAATCACATGTTTATGGGAATGAAAAAGTTATTTTGTAACGAGCCTATTTGGAGCCTTACAACCTACTCGCAGTGTAAAACATTTGTTGAAAGGATAGTTAGGTGGAGTACCGCGGTGAATGATTTATATGTCCAAGTTAACGTGTTATGTTTGGATATGGGGTAGGTATCATGTGGGTTCATCCACTGAGTGGTTGTCCTGTATCCAATATATGTGATCCAGTGTATGGATGTCGTGTATCCAATGGATGCGGTCCAGTGGATGGATGACGTGTATCCAGCCAAGTGACCGCTGGCCAGCGTGTCAGTAAATTAGCGAATTGTCAGCCCTTTTGTCGCGGAGGTATTGTCCCGACACTTTGCCCATTTTCACCGTTTCTTAACCACGCCATGTGGTACGTCAAAACAAATTGGTACGTTAGGCCGTGTCTCAATAGATGGTGGAGGCTTTAGTCTATCATAACATAAAGACATTAAAATAACAATAGTTAACAACATAAACACAAGGTATGAAGTTTTAAATACTTGTAAATGTATAGTCATCCCGTTGATTGTTTCGTTATTTTCCTTGTTTATTAAGTGACCAAGTTGTTGTTTTGGTGCATTAGAAAGGACAGGGTGGTGGAAAAAGGAAGGTTCAAAAGTTTATAGTTTATAATGAAGTCTACTACGGTCTATTTAGTCACAATGGGAAAAAAACCAACCTCCAATAAATGTATGAATTTTAAAAATATTTCTTATTTAAAAAAATATTGAAAATTAATTCTGAGCTTAAGAAAAACATAAATTGTATAATTGTGTGTTTCATATACAAAGTTTGTGTGTGTTAAAAGTTGAATTTGTAATTAAAGCTTACGATTTGAACACGCGGGGGCACTTAACTGGTTGATCATAAAAGTCAGATGGGTGCGACAACATAGGTGCTCCCCCTCCCCTCCCCGTTTTAAGAGGTGACCCCCTCCCCACCTGACTCAAAATCTCCATCTCAATACCTTTCAGGATATCGCATATCCCCTAGCGCCCCTAAATGTTTTTTTTTACTCCCTCAGAGGGGCGAGTGTACCACCCCCCTCCCTAGCGCCCCTAAATGTTTTTTTACTCCTTCAGAGGGGCGAGTGTACCACCCCCCTAGCGCCCCTAAATGTTTTTTTTACTCCCTCAGAGGGGCGAGTTTACCACCACCCCCGAGTCCCCCAACACGGGCGCACACTGGATGAAGCAAGACGTCAGCTTTGGTAAACTCAAATTGACGAACAACAAGGGGACGAAACAAAAACAAGTAAGTTGCCATAGTTATCTTCCCAGCTAAAGTTATCTTGACAGCTAGAGTTATCTTTATTGCTAGAGTTATCTTTACCAATTCGAGTAAATGTTAGCTTTATCACTTAAAGTTGTATTTACCAATTACGCTTAACATATTTTACAAGAATTATTTCCCTTGACAGACATTTGAAAAATTACTTCCCTTGACATATTTTTCAAACGACCTTCCATATTTTTTTCAATTACCTCCCCTAGATTATCATAACGGGTTTTTCAAATTATCTCCCCATAGACTATTTAAAAATTACCTTCCCTAGATTGTCTTGACAAATTTTTTTTTCAATTACTTCCCCGAGATTATGTAACAAATTTTTCAAATCACCTCCCCTAGATTATCTTAACAATTTTTCAAATTACCTCCCCTAGATAATCTTGAATTCCATGCACCGCTACCAGCCACGGATCAACATAGCCGAAGACGTGGACGGTCAAGAAGGTGACGTCATCATTTCCCACGCCTTCGTGGACACGCAGTTCATCGCCGTGACGGCATACCAGAACACAGACGTGAGTACCTCAGTGATGCTCACACGCCACACCACACCCCACCCTCACCCTCACACACTACCCCACACCTCACACTTTCCTCCCACACTATATCAGTGCTGCTCACACACTACACCACACCACACCACACCCTCACCCTCCCACACTACCCCACACCTCACACTTTCCTCCCACACTATCTCAGTGCTGCTCACACACCACACACTTCCCTCACACACTACCCCAGTGCTACACTCACACCACACCACACCTTCCCTCACACACTACCTCAGTGTTACTCACACACCACTCCCTCTTCCTCTCAACACACCATTTTTTAGTTCATTTTCATAAACATTGTATCAGTTTTTTTATTGTCTCAGTGTTCAGTAGGTCTGCAAATAAAATAAAATCGCCCGACTAAAACCACTTGTGAACTAAATAACGCACCGAATATGTGTGTAATAGCGCAAAAATACGAGTACTTCATCAGCAATGTTTAACCAGTGATGTCACATTACATTGTCATCTAGCTTTGACCCACATGTCAAGTTTGAAACAAATAGGTTTGGCGGAAGTGGGTGAAATTTCGTTGGCAAGTTTTGACTCTTAACGGACGATGCATTTATTGATGTTTAAGCTAAAGACAAAAGACGTTAAAATCAAGTTAAATAAAAGCTTGAACAAATTTTCCGAACGGAATTTCACAGAATTTATGAATACGAGCTGACCCGCGGCGTATCATACGCCGCTAATTAGTTGTTTTATTTTCTACTATTCAGTACTTCATCGTTAGTGACTTCGACACTACCATCCCTTCCACTTCACCCCCCCCCCCCCCTCCGCCACCGCGAAAGCAGCTATCCGTGACGACAGTTTACGGACGACAATGAAAAGATCAAGCATAACATGGTATTACCTCCCCTTAGTTTCAAAAAATAGTTTAAAAGCTAAATTATCTGCCCCTAATGGCCGACTCTGCGATTGTAAACATTCGGGGTGAACCTTAGATCACCAGAATGGTGGGGATGGAGGTGGTAGCTATATGCCTAGAGAGCGGGGGAGTAACGGCGTGCGTTTACCTGGTGTCTCGCATGGTCCCCATGAAGAGAATTATATATATACGAGCCGACCCGCTGCGTATCATACGCCTCTATTTAGTTGTTTTTTCTACTTTTCAGTAATTTATAATTTGTGAATTCGACAGTACCAATGCTGCCATTGAAAATATTTGCTTTAAAACACTACCCCCCCCCCCCCACGTGAAAGCAGCCTCCTCTTAGTTACCTCCTCTAAGTTTAAAATCGTTTCAAACTAAATTATCTGCCCCTAATAGCCGTCACCAAACCAAGCTCTACGATTGTTTTGTAAACATTTAGCGTGAACCATAGCTCACCTGACCATGTGGGGGGGGGGGGGGGGGGGTCGGTAGCGATAGAGAGAAAGAAAGGGGACTGCAAGGCGCGCTTGCAGCTTGTTTTCTAACGTCTCCCAGAAGAGAATTATATATATAGATACGAGCCGACCTGCGACGTATCATACGCCGCTAACGCCGCTATTTAGCTGTTTTATTTTCTACTTTTCAGTCATTCATAATTTGTGAATTCGACAGTACCAATGCTACCACTGAAAATATTTGCTTTAAAACACAATCAGTAGGTAGTTAAGGACGATAACCCCCTCCACCCCACCCTCCTTCCCCCCCCCCCCCCCGTGAAAGCAGCCTCCTCTTAGTTACCTCCCCTAAGTTTAAAATCGTTTCAAACTAAATTATCTGCCCTTAATAGCCGTCACTAAACCCGGCTCTACTATTGTAAACATTTAACATGAACCACAGCTCACCAGACCATGTAGGGGTGGTAGGGATATGCTTAGAGAGGAAGAGAGGGGGCTGCTAGGCGCGCGTACAGCTTGGTGTTTTCTAGGGTATCCAAGAAGAGAATTATATATATATATAGATAGATGGGTAGGTAAAATCCAATGTTGAATAAAAAAACCGGGAGGGATCTCCCCTAAACTTTCTCGAATATTCTTATATAACTCTGAATATAGACATGATTTTAAATTACTTTTAAAAATAGAATAGAATATATTATTTGTAATTTACATGCGTTTTTTTGAGAAATCGAAAATAGCGTAAATTAGTACTTCCGGTCAACGGAAATTACTCAAAATTTGACAGAAGGCAGAGAATTAGATCTTTTACTTACATGTAAAATTTCATTTATCTATCTGAAATAATACTCAAGTTATAGGCTTTTGAAAAATTCAAAGTAGAAAAAGTACCACGTCCGGTTATCGGAAATCGCTCAAAAGTTGATCAGGATCTACGATTTTGATAAAATACTTATATATGAAATTTCATCAACCTAGCTGTAACGGTACTCAATTTATCGTGTTTGCACACAGACAGACAGACACACAGACACACAGTCATACTGACAAGATTGCAAAATTATGTTTTTCCGTATCAGTGAGGTGTAAAACGTCGAGATTTGTAAAACAAATCTCGATTTTTTTGCACGATTACAAGTCTTTCTCTATACGACAAAGTAAAAAAGATTTGAAATTTTCAAAATTGGAACTTGACTAAGGGGTCTGTGTGGTCGGGTAGGTAAAGATCATGGTTGACGCAGATAAGACTCGATAGTTGGGGACAGCAACTTGTCTAGGAGAGACAACTCGATAGTTGGGGACAGCAACTCTTCTAGGAGAGACAACTCGATAGTTGGGAACAGCAACTCTTCTAGGAGAGACAACTCGATAGTTGGGGACAGCAACTCTTCTAGGAGAGACAACTCGATAGTTGGGGACAGCAATTCTTCTAGGGGAGACAACTCGATAGTTGGGGACAGCAACCCATCTAAGAGAGACAACTCGATAGTTGGGGACAGCAATTCTTCTAGGGGAGACAACTCGATAGTTGGGGACAGCAACCCATCTAGGAGAGACAACTCGATAGTTGGGGACAGCAACTCTTCTAGGAGAGACAACTCGATAGTTGGGGGACAGCAACTCTTCTAGGAGAGACAACTCGATAGTTGGGGACAGCAACTCTTCTAGGAGAGACAACTCGATAGTTGGGGACAGCAACTCTTCTAGGAGAGACAACTCGATAGTTGGGGACAGCAACTCTTCTAGGAGAGACAACTCGATAGTTGGGGACAGCAACTCTTCTAGGGGAGACAACTCCAAAATCAAACAACTGCTGCCTTGTAGTTTTTGGACAAAGGCATAACAGGGTGACACGTAATACTTAATACTTAATATCTTCCAACAATACAATAACGATCGAAGAAGAAGAAGAAACTAAACCAAATGAATCAAGGGTTCATTTCACCATATTAATGTAATAAATTTTAAATTGTAGTTTTAAATGAAAGAATAACCCAGCATTCTCTCAATATTTCAGTGCTTATTGTTTTCATATGCCATTGTTAGTCTCATAATTCATAGCACTTTTATAAAGTTAGACACATATTAAACACACGTCAATGTCGAAAAATAATTGAACAATTTTACTTCAATCCGCGATTTCCATTTTCAATTTAAATACGCAACATATTCAAGGGAGACAAGTTATAACTATTTTCCAAAACTTTACAAAACAAAGAAAATAATTAAGAACAGGACTAATAAAACTAATAATTATTACTTGTTAAAACAAATTAGAATATGTTTAATGATTTTTGTCTTAATATTTCAACTTTATGGATATTACAATTTTTGTTTGAGTTTAGATTAAATTAAAAAAACATTTTCTATATTAAGTTTACAAATTTTTAACTAAATGAAACTTTATCTATCAATCGCTGCATAGACTGTAAGTTATCTGTACCCGTTACAACAGGCCAATATTTTTTTCCATTGAATCATCACATTTGCATTTTCAGGCGGTTTGTATCAGATCTATGTATAAGTAAACCATCTTAAATGATTGAAAGTAGGCTACAAGTAAGAAATAAATATATTACTATTGTAAGTCCCCACAAGCCGATGATGAAAACTAATACTAATATATATATACGAGAAAAATGGCCCGTTGAGGAAGGGTACAACGGGCGCTAGGCTGATAGTGCTGTCTCTTTTCTCTAAACTAAAACCAACCCACCCCCCCCACACACCACCCCCCATCCCCCACCCCCCCACCCCCACCCCCCACACACCACCCCCCACCACACACCCCCCCCACCCCCCCACCCCCACACACCACCCCCTCCACACACCGCCCAACCCCCACCCCCCCCCCACCCCCCTCCACCCCCCCCCCCCCCCAAAAAACATGTCTACCGTCCCATTCAACGAAATATAATTATATACTTTTTCCAGTGTTCGCCCCCTCCCAGAAAATTCGACCCCCGCCCCCGAAAATTTCAAGTACCCCCACCCCTCTCCGGGGAGGAAAAAGTCTGAAAGAAACACTGAAACCCACCCCCCCCCCACACCACCCCCCCCCCACACACCCCCCACCCCCTCCCTTCCCACACACACCACCCCCCCCCCCCCCCCAAAAAAAAAACATGTCTACCGTCCCATTCAACGAAATATAATTATATACTTTTTCCAGTGTTCGCCCCCTCCCAGAAAATTCGACCCCCGCCCCCGAAAATTTCAAGTACCCCCACCCCTCTCCGGGGAGGAAAAAGTCTGAAAGAAACACTGAAACCAACCCACCCCCACACACCACCCCCCACCCCCCACCCCCACACACCACCCCCCCCCCCCCCACACACACAACCCCCCCCCACCCCACCCCCCCCCCCAAAAAAAAAACATGTCTACCGTCCCATTGCAAGAAAACCACTTTTTAGATTAGACACATTAATTAGGCGGTAATTTTATTATAGAGTATCGATGAGGAAATTTCTTTTGAGTTGGGGAGGGGGGGGGGGGGGGCTCAGACGTTCTTACGCGGGGGTGGGGCTTCGCCCCTACCCGAAGAATTGTATGAAAGAAACTCTTCACGCAAACCACTTAGATTAGACCAAATTGCCTTTGTATTGAATGTTTACTCGATAATC